GCGGGAAGTCTTCTCACCTCTCAGCTCGTCACAACGGGTCCGTTTGTGGTACCAGAATGGAATTCAATTTCTCAAACAACCCTCAACCCTCCTCAACCCTCAACCCTCAACCCTCAACCCTAAACCCTAAACCCTATTTAGTATGGTTAGGTAGTACTGCAAATGGACCCTCTGGGAAAACTTCGAAGCTGAGGAGAATGGAGTCTCCTAGACTTTCAGCTTCGGGGGCTACTCTCAGACTCGAATGCAATCTTCAAGTCTGGGATGTCCACAGGTTTAGGGTTTAGGGTTTAGGGTTTAGGGTTTAGGGTTTAGGGTTTAGGGTTTAGGGTTTAGGGTTTAGGGTTTAGGGTTTAGGGTTTAGGGTTTATGGGGCCTTGGCTCGAGAGATGTACGGTTTAGGGTTTTGGGTTGACATATCTATAAAAAAACGGAAAACATCCCCATCTCCAACAGAATGACGCCATTTCCCGCGCAGGACCAGTTCAGATTTCAGATCCTTGCACCGCATGATCTCATTCCACGCGTGGAACGCAGGCTCGGGCTTGCTGTGCTACTTCCGAGGGGCGTCACAAACCACACATCCACGAGACCTCGGATCTTCAAAGTGGTACCACTGGTCTTGTGGACAAACTGCTGGTAACGCTCGATCGTCTTACGGATCCCCCGGCAATGAGTAACTTGCCGGCAAGTTAGACTGCATGCTGGTCTTCCCAACCTTCATGACTTCGTGTTGTCCATCGACGGGTTTAGGGTTTAGGGTTTAGGGTTTAGGGTTTAGGGTTTAGGGTTTAGGGTTTAGGGTTTAGGGTTTAAGGTTGCTTTTCTTGCAGGTGGCGGCCAATCAGAGGGAAGGACGGTCTGCAGGGGTTAGGACTTGGGGTTTCGGGGTGAGGTTAGCCCTCAAATGCAGGACGGGGGTTTTGGGGTTTAGGGTTTAGGGTTTAGGGTTTAGGGTTTAGGGTTTAGGGTTTAGGGTGCGTGCCTGCCACTGCCACGCCTTCTCGCAGGCGCTGACCAGGGCCTATGATGCACAACTGCAAACACTACGGTTTAGGGTTTAGGTTTAGGGTTTATAGGGTTTGGGGTGTAACAAATTGAAACGTCGCTCAAGAACACCTCATCCATATTTTGGGATTTCCCCCTTATACTAACAGTCATTAATGGGGATTATAGTAGGGGGGGGGGTACTATCATCCCGATCAAAGACTGTTAGTATAAGAGGGATCCATACTACTGAAACCTTCTGGGTGCTTCGGGTAATGCACAGAAGCTTTGTGACAGGCCTCTTCCCTCATGCTGCGCATTCTTCAGTCACGCAGGGATCTAGGTAAACAATGGGTTCAGTTGTAGTACCTTGAGTTAGGTACCCGAAGTCCTGTCCAGTCGGGCTTAGGGGTACGTAATTCCAGAATATGTTTACACATGGGCCCTCGCGGTTAAGCATGCTGTGTAGGTTTGGGGTTTAGGATTCGTGTTTAGGGTGTATATAAGGTTTAGGGTTTAAGGTTTAGGGCTTAGGGCTACCGTCATCCTGGCTGCATGCATGTTGCACTGAAGGTGATGTTGCTCGGCTCCACCTGTAGGGTCGGATCTGAATTGAGCTCCCTATGCAAGTCTTCCTGAACACTTGCGACAAAGGCTTGGGTACCAAGGCTTAAAACTTTGGTTCTTGTCATCTTCGTTAAGGTACTTATAACCTCCTTCATAAGGTGGTACCTTAAACCCCAAACCCTAAGCCCTAAACGCGAAACCCAAAAACCCGCTGTGAAATGGCAGCACCAAGGGGCTCCCTGCTCGCGGGGCGTGGCTTGCATGGTGGAATTAGTGCATTAGGTGCCTTATCTTCCCCTCACGCCTGCGTAACCTTGGAGGGCACTTAAAAGGAAGATAAAGATTATCATACACCCTCAACCGTTTAAGGAATTGGTAAAATGCTAAAGTGTGCCCTTCTACTTCGTTTTCTTTACGAGAGATTTGGGGTTTGGGCCAATTAGGCTTAGGCTTGAGGTTTTAGGTTTTAGGATTTATGCTTTTTAGGCTTTAGGCTTTGCGGTTTAGGGTTTAGCCTTCGCTGTTTTGGGTTCTTGGGTTGGGCCTTCCACACGTGCAGCTGGTCAAGCAGCGCCAAGGCTGAGCGCCATTCCCCTGCTTTCTCACACGCGGAGATAGCCTCAGAGGGCTTGGGGTTGTAGGGCTTCAGGGCTTTAGGGCTTAGGGTTCAGGGTTTAGGTTTCGGGGTCTTGGGGATTTAGGTTTAGGTTTCAAGCCTCGGGCTTACGGCTTGTCTCTGGACGGGAGCCTGGCGATTTCGAGTAAAACCACCCCCGGTGGAGTTGCAGTTTAGCAAGTTGGGCTTCGAGTTTGTGATTGGAGTGCATGAGGTCACCCAGCGAACGATTGCCTAGTAGTTGAGCACTGGCCAGCCCATGGGCATGCGCCCTTCTTTTGCATCTCGCGTCGACAGCCAGATCTTGGGATGTTCCCCCTTGGGGGTTATAGTAGGGGGTACTATGCTCCCTATTAAGGGGTACTATAATCCCGATTAAGGGGTACTAGAATCCCTATTCAGGACTGTTAGTATATGGGGGAACATCGACAGCCAGATCCAAGTGGCTTGAAACAAAAACGGCGTAGCGGCGTAGCGTCTTGAAGCAAAGCAAGACTCTCAACAGAACAAGGATGGTGAGTCTTGGAAGATTCACGCATCGATGAACACTGAGCCCGAAACTCTAAACCCAGTAAATACTTCACTAAACCCTTCAAAAAGTGCAAGGGCAAACCATTTTGGCTTATATGCACGCTCCCAAAGGAAAGCATATTTCAGGGCAGAACTGCCCAAAGGCTCCGGCAGGATTGATTCTTGTGGACATGGCTATCTATGTAACTGTGTCCGGCTATATCGTGATAAGCTGCTAGTGAAGACTGAGAACTGTAGATAAACAGGGGCTGCAAACGAGTTAACATTTGCACCCGGTAGCACTTTGCCGACAAAACGGCTGCAGCAGAAGTCGGTTGTGTGGCCAACGTGCTTCCCGAAAACCTCTTTTGCAGTTCTTTGTTCAGCTACATTGGAACTTGCATATTGAAGTTGCATATCCAGTACCTGCATGAAGCACACCGTCCGTTGCTTGACTACTTTGTAACAAGAGAAAACATATGGTAGGATCCAAAGTTTAGCGGTATAGATAAACATACATGAGCTTGATTCGTCGGCGCCTTTGGGGGATGCCTGCACACTTTTGCATGCATGGGCCAAGGCTTTCGCTTGCAAGCCCACGCAAACAATGAAACTCGAGCAAAGATGAGAAACATCTGGCTCTATGTTGTCATGACGTGGCATGATGCGGTTTGCACGTGAATTGCGCACACAAATGGGCTGCCTATTGCTACCCTCCGATACCTGGCCACGAGTGAAACAGCAAGGGCCGGAACATAAACCCTCCCAGCGCTGAGCCTTTGCAGTTGGAACTCATTGCTGCCAGGCTGTGTGCGCTACTCCGTCATTGAGCTAAACCAAGAGCCCGCAAACGCCGATTAAACCTGAACTCCAATCCCCTGAGTCAAGAACGACGGCATTCCGCTCTAACGACCAGGTGGCAGCGTGAAACAAAGTAGGCGTACCGGCTTGAAGCAAAACAACGCTCTCGAATCTTGTCAAGTTCACGCATCGACTTAAATTAACACTAAGCCCGAAACTCTAAACCCAGCAATAGATAGCAATAGTTTCTAAACCCTTCAAAAAGCGCAAGTGCAAACCATTTTGGCTTATATGCACGCTCCCAAAGGAAAGCATATTTCAGGACAGAACTGCCCAAAGGCTCCGGCAGGATTGATTTCTGCAGTGGACATGGCTATCTATGTAAACCGTGTCCGGCTAAGTCGTGATAAGCACTGCCAGTGAAAACTGAAAATTTGCACACGGGAGCACTTTGCCGACAAAACATGGCCGAAGTTGTGTGGCCAATGTGCTTCCCGAAAGCCGCTTTTGCAGTTCTAAGTTCTTTGTTCAGCTACATTAGAAGTTGCCTATATTAAAGTTGTATATCCGGCAACTGCATGAAGCACACCATCCTTTGCTTGACTACTTCGTAACGAGACAAAACATATGGTAGGATCCAAAGTTTAACGGTATAGCTAAACATGCATGAGCTTGATTTGTCGGCGCCTTTGGGGTATACCTGCACACTTGTTGCATGCATGGGCCAAGGCATTCGCTTGCAAGCCACGCAAACAATAATGACCATGGAGCAAAAACAGAGTATCCATAACGTGTCATGATGCTGTTTGCGCGTGAAATTCGCCGACAAATGGGCCGCCTGTTGCTACCCTCCGACCGATACCTGGCCACGAGAGGAACAGCAAGGGCCGATGAACAGAATGCCCCCACTAACTTTGAGTTAAATCAAGAAGCCGTGCACCCTATAACTGCCTATAAACCCCAAACCCTAAACCCCAAACCCTAAACCCCAAATCCTACCCTAAACCCCAAACCCTAAACCCTCAACCCTAAACTCCCTAAACCCTAAACCCAAAACCATGCACCGGGTGTACCTCAGGTAGCCGACTCACAGCAAAGGCGGTACAAATCCGAGGGTGTCAGCTGGATGCCGAGCATCTCTGCCTGGCCGAATACACGGTTTAGGGTTTAGGGTTTAGGGAGGCATTTACCTTTAGCTATACAGGGTTTAGGGTTTAGGGTTATCTACTCTTAAACGATAGTATCCTTGGCATAATCTAAGCCATTTCTGAATTAAGGTATATTGGGCCCTTTGCCTGCTTCGCTTGATCTTGGGCTTAGCTTCGAGGCTCAGGGCCGGGGTGTTTTCCAAGGATTCTGGCCTGGCAGTTACAACCCGCCAGTAAGCCCCATGAACCATTAAAGGTGTTTTGCGCTAAACCCTAAACCCTAAACCCTAAACCCTAAACCCGAAACCCTAAACCCTAAACCAAAAACCCAACACCCAAAACCCAAAACCCAAAACCCTGAACACTAAACCCTAAACCCTAAACCCTGAGAACCCTAAACCCTGGGTGGCCTGCCGCTTGTGGAAGAAAAAGGCCGCCTGTTGTGCTGAGATGCTGTCCAGCGGAACGACGACGTTGCTGGCCTTCTTCCTTGGGTTTAGGGTTTAGGGTTTAGGGTTTAGGGTTTAGGGTTTAGGGTTTAGGGTTTAGGGTTTAGGGTTTTCACAAGGGTTTAGGGTTTAGGGTTCAGGGTTTAGGGCTATAACCCCCCCCCCCCCCCCAAAAAAAAAAAAAAAGTCAGGTCAAACACCCTCTCTACTACTGTAATCCCTATTGCTAGGTACCGAAAAACCAAGGCTGGTTACATGGTCCATTAGTATGGGCCCTTAAAAGGGGGCCCCTTATACACACCAATTAAGGGACCGCGAAACTCCCACGTACCATAATTCCCAAGGTTCTGCTTATGGCGCACCACCGCGCCCAACTCTGCTAGGCAGCCGCTCAGCGTGCCTCCCTGAGGATTGTGCCCAAACCAGGCATCTACATCTTCTTGGGCTTCGGCCTTCGTGAGGTGCAGGTCTTCGAACCTGGGTTTAGGGTTTAGGGTTTAGGGTGTAGGGTTTAGGGTTTAGGGTTTAGGGTTTAGGGTTTAGGGTTGCCCAGTAGTTCCCCGAGGAAGAGAGATGAACAGGGTACGTAGGCTGAATTGCTTTAGCCGTTCTTGCTTCTACTAACTGTTCTCGCTGCCATGGCTCTTCTGACTATCGCTATTCTGAGGTTTACCCTAAACCCTAAACCCTAAACCCAGTTGCTAGGATGACTCGTGCTTGTTCTGTTGCTTCGGTGTTTTTTCGAGCTTTTTCCAACGACCTGACAGGTTCCGCTGCAAACCCTAGAAGCAGGTGCCTAAACCCTAAACCCTAAACCCTAAACCCTAAACCCTAAACCCTAAACCCTAAACCCTAAACCCTAAACCCTAAACCCTAAACCCTAAACCCTAAACCCTAAACCCTAAACCCAGTTGCTAGGATGACTCGTGCTTGTTCTGTTGCTTCGGTGTTTTTTCGAGCTTTTTCCAACGACCTGACAGGTTCCGCTGCAAACCCTAGAAGCAGGTGCCTAAACCCTAAACCCTAAACCCTAAACCCTAAACCCTAAACCCTAAACCCTAAACCCTAAACCCTAAACCCTAAACCCTAAACCCTAAACCCTAAACAATCCTGGAAGCTCGTGGACGATGTTGTGGGCCTTGATGGCGCTCTGGATGTAGAGAGGAGAGAGGCATGCCATGAACAGGCATAGGATGGCCACAATGACGCACAGGATGATGAGGCCTGCAGTGAGGTTTAGGGTTTAGGGTTTAGGGTTTAGGGTTTAGGGTTTAGGGTTTAGGGTTTAGGGTTTTAGGATCATAGTGAATAAGAAATAACTCTACATATACACATTTCTTTTACATGCGCAGATATAAAAACATGTTTGAATATGTGGATTTATCTGTTTATTTCCGTAGAGACTGAGAGAGAGAATACGTATACATACATATACACGCATAAACAGTAAATCAAGACAAGTACATGTTCAGTGCTAAAAAATGTGCATGTGTGCGTGTGTATATATATATATATACATATATATATATATAGATATACATCCGTACATATTCTCCCCTTCCCCCGCTTTCCCCCCCCCCCCCCCTCCGTCCCCGCCCACACACACACACACCGGCCTGCAGCCCGCCTCCCCCCCACCCACCCCCGAACCCCGAACCGTTTCACACATGGCTTCCTGAGCTGAAATGGTGCCGCCTCTGCCCAATAGAGTGCAACCTTGAACACTATCTCATATAGGGGCCTGAATCATTAGAATAGGGTTTTGGGGGTTTTGCAGTCCAAGTCTACAGGGACCATCAGGGAATCATGTCCGCAAATATTCCGAAGCCCCTAACCCCAAACCCCAGACCCGAAACCCTAAACCCAGAGCACTTTGTGGGGCAAACCTTGTGGAGGCCTCCAAGTGTTTTCACGGTCACCAGAAAGCGGATAAGACATGGAAGCGCAAAAAGGCAGCCAACCAGAAAGCCTTGGCATTGGGTTTAGGGTTTCGGGTCGTAGCTTGGTAGCCCCAGCGGTTACATTTTTAATAAGGGTGCCCTTTTGGGGGTTGGTTGCTTTGTGAGGGAATGTAGAAGAAGAAATAAAAGCAAAAGGGTACCACTGGGCTGCCAGGAAGCATAGATACGGCAGCCGCGACATGAACCCAATGTTCTTCAGGAACACGTGACAGCCCATCTCGCTTTGAACTTCTCCCACGCAAAGAAGGATGACGACCGTCATGATGGTCGAGAAGAGGTATCCCAGAAAGGAAACCACATAGAAGACCATGACCAAATCATTCATGAAGGGCAAAGCCTCTTGCACGTGTGCCTCACCAATGGCTTGGCCAATGTAGCCGTCCAAGAAGATATAGCCGCTGCCCACGAAGTCCTATACGGTGTGTGATCACGAGCAAACAGCTGCGATAAGCGTTGAGGGCTCTGTGTCAGGGATTCTGCTTGCACCTCTTTGTCTCTATAGTTGGCCTCCCTACTATAACATAGGGGCCGTTTTTTTGGGTGGCCATTCTAGTATAAATACAAAGGGGCCATGAGGGAATAACACTGGGAATTATTCCGAAACCCCTATATTACAGGGTTTAGGGTTTAGGGTCTAGGGTTTAGTGTTTGGGGCTTCTCCCTATGGGCCTCTTCGAGCCAGTCGGTGACATGATCAAAGGCCATCGGCACGATCACGGTGAGCATCAAGGCGCTGATCAGGCCCATGTTCCTGTACTGAACTTGGTTTAAGGTTTAGGGTTTAGGGTTTAGGGTTTAGGGTTCAAAAAGTAAAAACTTATTCCCAAGAATCCCGAAGGTTCGTGCATTCGCTGACGAGATTGTCCCTGGCGCCCTGAACCAGGCCTTTGCTTTCCTGGGGGGCGAGGGTCTAGGCAGCTGCATGGATGCTCCAGGCAACTGATGCGTGTGATGGCATGGACGCTTCTAGCCTGTGCATGTTCATGGTATGGGCATGACTGCTTCAGATGCACAAATGCTGGCCTTGGCCAGCCCTCAACCCCCCAACCCTAAACCCGAAACCACCCTTAAACCCGAAACTCAGATGTTCTTCAAGGCTGGGCCTATGAAGGACACAACCCTAAACCCTAAACCCTTTGCATCGGAAATACTCCGAAACACCACCCCTGTGAGGGCTTTGGAAGGATAAGCCTCGGCATCCTAAACCCTAAACCCTAAAACCTGTAAGCATCCGATACTCAAGACCTGTGTGGCTTGTTTTGAGAGCCTGAAACAAGATGGGCAGACAAGAAAGCACCCCGGCCCAGAACGATCCAGGAAGCCCTCCAGAAGGGTTTAGGGCTTGGTGTGCAGGGTTTAGGGTTTAGGGTTTCGGGCTTGGGGTTTAGGGTTTCGGGTTTCGGGTTCAGGATTATGCAAGCTATGGTCGAGCCCGGCCCCCGCACCCCAAATGCATCCCAGCTTCTTCATCTTTGATCACTTCGTCGGCCATCACCAAGAAGTGGGCCGTGTAAGCAGAGACAACGGCATTCCAGTAACCTTCGGGATCTTTTACGAGTTAAAAAATGGAATTTGTGGAATGATTCTACAAAAATTTGGAGAATGTTGAGCTCTTGGGATTTGGGTGCAGTAGGGTTTTGGTGCTGAACATAGTTAGTCCAAGTTTGCTGGTTCAGACACGTACGCACCCAACCTTCTGGGGCAAAAGCATTATCCAAGAACAGTGTGTGTTTCCTTTCTGGTAGCACACATACACCTGGGGGTTGAAAGTAGTGTAACTATACACATTATGTTAAGCGTTCTGATCTCTTTTGGAGTGCCCCTCTACCCATCTCCAGCTTACTAACCTTTTTACGGTTCACAGCAGCCCGGTTCCAGCATCACACTCCCTACTGCAGAGCGCAACCTAAACCCTAAACCCTGACTTCAGAACCCTAAATCCCTTAACCCCTAAAACCTTTGGCCCTTTGTCTGTGCTGCTACTGGGCCCGCGAACGTCGGGCGTGCGGGTGTCCCGGGTCGTTTTCGCCAATGTGCTATTATGGGAAACATGTTTAGGGTTTCTCCTGCATGATCTGAGGGCCGTGCCCATAAATGTTCAGGGTTTCGGGTTTAGCGTTTAGGGCTAGGTTGGGATGTTCCTTCTTTACTAACAGGAATTGGGGGTATTATAATCCCTAATAAGGACTTTTGTATAAGGGGGAACATCCCAAGGCACGCACTAAGCGAATGCTAGCGACCATCCATGCAGATGGAACTCTCCACGCAGTGCATTTCTACTATCAACCGTTTCACCATGAACCCTAAACCCTAAACCCTAATTGCACGGACCCCGTTGTGGTGCGCATGTCTGCCTGCAAAAACATCCTCCGTGTGGCGGAAATGCTTGTGCAAGTGCCACTGAAAGGTCTTGCCACGACCATGTTTAACATGGTGGATGGACCTTGAAACCCCAAACCCTGAACCCTAAACCCTAAACCTGAAGCCCTAGTTTATAAACCCTAAGCCCTAAACCCTGAAGCTCGGAGTGGAAAGGGCAGCCAGGCAACCCTCCTTGGCCTTCTTAAATCCCGTAGGGGCCAAGGGCCTGGGCTTCAGATAATCCGCAACACGGCCCACGATCGGATCGTCTCCTGCGTTGTTTTTTATAGGGTCTATAGGGTTTAGGCTTAGGGGTTTAGGGTTTAGGGTTTGGGGTTTGGGGTTTGGGGTTTAGGGTTTGGGGTTTGGGGTTTAGGGTTTGGGGTTTGGGGTTTGGGGTTGCGGGTCCTTAAGAGGGGAGTTCAAGGGGTGCAACCCAAGGTTCCCCAGGCTCCCTAAGCCTCCCTAAGGTTTTCTAGGTACCTACCGCCTAAGAAACCCCCCTCTCTTAAGAACCCTATAGATTGCTCTTGGTAGTCTGCGCTTTAGGGTTTAAGGCTTTAAGTGCCATAGACCCCTAAACCCTAAACCCTAAACCCTAAACCCCAAACCCTAAACTCTAAACCCTAAACCCATTCAGCCTGCTGGGTTCTTAGCTTCCTGTGCTTGAGCCAAAGAGGGAAGAACCAACAAGAAGCCTTTGCTGGACCCTGGAAAAAAAGTACATACATTTCAGGTATAAGTAGCTATAATCGGAACCCAGAACCCCAACAAAAAACAATGCATTAAAGTAGAGTACTCCAAATACCCAGGTCTCCATCCCTCCCAGCGGCTGATGTTTTGGCCACTGCCGAGGGAGCTTGCGCTTCATCCGTTTCCGGAGCCACCGCAGCAGGCGCGGGTTCGACGGAAGCTGTCTGGACCGGCATGGGCATGACCAGCTGAGTCTGCGCGAGCTTCGAGCCGAGCTGCTGCGGCAAGCTCTTAGGGCTCAGGGCTCAGGGCTTAGGGCTTAGGGTTTAGGGTTTACGGTCGGGCCGAATCTACCTTTGCGCCCTAATTCAGCCCCTGCATCCCGAAGTCGAGAAGCCTGCAGCGTCCCTCAAACCTGACCTAAGGGCTCCATTCAAGCACCCGAAACCACACCTGGACCTGTGAAACCCAATCATTGACTCATGCCTGAAACCATAGACCCAAAAAGGGTGTAGGGTTTAGGGTTTAGGGTTTAGGGTGCCTGAACTTGTCGCCAGGCTTGAGGCATCGCTGCTTTGTGTTTGCAATAGCTGGGCAAACTTGGGCCCTGGACACGACGTGAAGTCTTGACAAGGGTTTCCAAGTAGGATTGCAACTTGGCTAGCAAAGCATTTGCGGCCCCGGGCCCCGCCGGAGGCAGGGTACTCACCGCTCTTCTTCCCTGAACCCAGAATCCTAAACCCTAAACCCTAAAACTGCCTAAACCTCTGAACCCTAAACCCTAAGCGCCTTTGTCCCAACATTCCACCCACATCGCAGATCTAAGTACAGGGTGGGGCCCCCTTACTATACTAACTGTAGTTAAGGGACTTATAACCTAACTTAGGGTCCTTATAACCCAATTTAGGGCCCTTATAACTCTACTTATAACTAGGGGGCCCCACCCTGTAGGTTCAGGCTTTAGGGTGTTGGAGCGCTTTGGGATGATTTGCTTCTAGCGGTCCAGACCGGGAAGCTGCGTTGCAGCTGATGACGTCTGGCTCCACATCCATCTCCTAAGCAAAAAAAAGGCAGCTCAGAGGTAGGTTTGCAACCCTAAACCCTAAACCCTAAACCCTAAACCCTAAACCCTAAACCCTAAACCCTAAACCCTAAACCCTAAACCCTAAACCCTAAACCCTAAACCCTAAACCCTACACTTACACGCGGGCTGTAAGTGTATGCCCTGTATTCTCGGGTTGCACGCCAATATAACGGATTCATGTCGGCCTCCCTACTTGAAGGTTCATGGGACTTAATAACCACTTATAACTGTACTTATAACCCTACTTATAATTGGGATAACCCCTATAAGGCCCTTTAGGGGTATTATAAGTAGGGTTATAAGTGCAGTTATAATTGGTTCCAAAGTCCCATGAACCTTCAAGTATACCCCAGTATCCTAGCCCTCCAAGCAACATGTGGACTTCCGATAGTTTAGCCTAAGCCCTAAGCCTTGAACACTAAACTGCTTAGGGGTTTGGGGGTGGGTGGTCCTGCATCTGCGCAAGCAGCTGAAGCGCGGCCTGGTGTTTGCCAATGGGTTTTGGTTTCGACGCTTGGGGTTTCAAGGTGCACCCCCAACACCACCCCCAACACCATCCTGCCCTATTTGTTAGTATCCATAAGTTGGGTTGTAAGCGGTATTCCGACAGGCGAGATCGGAAGTATAGTTGACAGCCGCTGCTTACAGATGCACTGAGAAAAGCGCACATCGAACTTTGCGTCTGCTCACAACACCGTTTGTCATGCTCTAGGGGCAGGCAGCAGTTGTTCATTAACGGCTTTGTTAACAGCAGCACGAGCAGCAACCCTCACCCCCACCGTCACCATGCAGGTACCAGACTGCTAGAGGAAAGCCGACCACAGGCTGCTCTGCCTGCCACTGCTGTCCTTTCTCGCAGGCGCTCATTCCAGCATTGAAGCTGATCCTCATCATGAGTCGATTGGGCGGGTGTGGAAGCTTCTGACATAAGGTACAGTATACTTTGAAAGTGCTTCCCGAGTAATTATGATGGTACATGGACCATTAGGGCCCGCTTTGTTTGTGGCCATGTGCTTCACACGCTGCTCGAAACTTACTTGAAATCGCAGGAGGTTTCTAGCGCCCATGTCGGTTGACTGCCGAAGGCAGCTCAGCCTAGAAGGACAAAAGCAATTCTATCCGCCTACCAGGCCTAATGGAGGGGCCTGAATCGTTAGAATAGGGCTTTGGGGTATAAATGCAAAGGGACCATAAGGGAATACTATTAGTAATTAGTACTTATGTCGACCCCTATAGTACACGCATCTGGTGATAGACTGCGCGCCGAGGCAAAAAGTAAGCCAACAAGGTTAAAAGAGGGCACTAGGCGATCAGAGCTGCCTTTGCTGCTGAGTTTCTGGGTTGGGTGTAGGCGGCGGCGAGGTACGCTGCTCCTGCCAAATTCTTTCTAAGCAAAAGGACCGCGTGACTGAACCCATGACCAGCCTGTAAGTAGAGCCTTTCCCGATCACGGGCTGGCAGGCACTTCCCCTGAAGCCTAAAGCACTAAACCTTGCTAAGACCTCTCTTCTCACTCTCAAAGTTGCAGCTTGCACTTTCAGGGTCGGGTATGCAACCAAGCCCTAAACCCTAAACCCTAAACCCTAAACCCTAAACCCTAAACCCTAAACCCTAAACCCTAAACCCTAAACCCTAAACCCTAAACAACACTAAGCCCTTAACCTGAGCAACCCTGAGCTGTACGACACATGCTGTCGGAAGTCAGCCTGGAGGCTTCCATCAGAATCTGGGAGCCTCCCTTCCGTAAACACTCCGTTATGATCTGAGCACCCTCATATAGGGGACTGCTGAAGTAAAGGGGCAGTGTATATGTCGCAGCTATCCAGGGGTTGTATGAGGCGACCATAAGAATAAAAGGAAATGCTATGTTGAACATGACAACTTTCAAAAAATGTTGCTTCAGTGTCGGGGAGGGGGGGGGGGGGAAGGGGGGGAGGGGGGCGAGGGGAGGGGGGGAGGGGGGGGAGGAGGGGGGAGGGGGGGAGGAGGGGGGAGGGGGGAGAGGGGGGAGGGAGTGGGAGGAGGGGGGGGAGGGGGAGGAGAGGGAGGAGAGGGGAGGGAGTGCATGGCAGCCGAGTCACAACAGTGCCAGAGCCCGTTGCCACCTCCATAAGCTAGCTCGGGGGAAGTCTGGGGTTTAGGGTGTAGGTTCGACGTTTAGGGTTTAGGGTTTAGGGTTTAGGGTTTAGGGTTTAGGGCTTTCTGTTCAGAGCTGCTGGTTTCAAACCTATATTGGGGTCGGGAATTGGGGTTCAGGGCTTATAGGGTGTATAGGGTTTAGAGGGTTTATAGGGTTTAGGGCTTAAGCCAAAGCGGCTCGCCGCCCTTTTCGCAGGCGCTGAGCACCTGAGTTCTGCCAGAGCTTTCTGCAGGCGCGTGCCTGTGCCCGAAGACTCATGCCTTGAGAACACCATAGAAGGGCTTCTGTCATATACACCTGAACAGGGCTTATGGTAGTATAGGGAATGTAACCTCAATATTCGGGGGATTTTATGGTTCAGAATACCCGAACAGGGCTTATGGTTGCATAGGGTAATACTGACCTGAGTATGAGGCTTCTCAAGTGCATCTCCAGATCCGAACTTTCCTCGAATGATTCCGAGCCGCTGCGTTGATCAGCGCCACATCCGCCCTCAGCCTGGCAGCGCTTGTGTCCTCGTGGTAGGTCGCTCCACCACGGGGGTCAGGAGCCTCCTAAACCCTATAAACCCTAAAGCCTTATGGTTTGTCCCAAAGGATCCATAGCCAAAGTGCTTTCTTCCAGTTTAGAAACGCGAAAAAATAGAAACGTGCGCGTCCGTCCTTCAGCACCTTTGTGTTGGTCTTCACAGATGATACATAGCTAAACTGGTTTCTTCCAGTTTAGATACGCGAAAGTTTAGAAACGTGCGCGTCCATCCTTTGGTCCCGGGGGTTCGGCTCTTCACAAACGGTTCATAGCCGAAGCGGTTTCTTCCGAGTTAGAAACCAGACGTCTGTAGAAACGCGCGCGGCCAACCATTAGATAAACCCTAAACATCCCTAAGCCCTCAACCGCAGGTCATGGCATCAACCCCACCTCAAACACAAACCCGACGTTCTGTATCCCAACACGCCACGCCCTAACGCCTGTGCCCGACAGATCCTCCCTAACCCTAAACCCTAGACCCTAAACCCTAAATCCTAAACCCTAAATCCTAAACCCTAAACCCTAAACCCCTAAACCCAGGGCCTCCAGAAGCACGAGCGCCGGTTGCCATTCATTGCCTGCAAAACATTAGCCAGTTGAAACTTGAGGATGGTAGAAGGCCTTGAGACCTGTAAACCTAGCCTATAACTCTACTTAGTTGCCGAGTTCATACGCCCCAAAAAAAGTGTACACTTTCAGTTCTATAGGGGAATCTAGTATCCCAAAAAGTGTAAAGTGTGCTCACTCAGCTAAAAAGTCTATAACCATGAATCTTATAATCCTACTTGTAACGCCAAAACCCTAGAACTCTATAACACTATTATCCCTACAACCCTATATCCCTGGAAACCCTATCCCAAAAACCCTATATGGGGGCTACCGAAAATAGGGGTAGCCTTTTGGGGGTTCTTATACTAAGGGTTAAACTAGTTTGGGGTATATTCAGGGTTACCCCTATTTTGGGGAGCCCCTGTAACCATAGACCCTAGACCCTAAACCCTAAACCCTAAACCCAAAACCCTAAACCCTAAGCAGGGCCTTTTTCACAGGCACTAATGGCTGCGCTGAAGGCCACGGTGTCCCTTCGAACCTTCGGGGCGGTGGGGCTTGGGCTCCTCTTTGGGCGTTTAGGGGGTTCAGGGTTCAGGGTTCAGGGTTCAGGGTTCAGGGTTCAGGGTTCAGGGTTTGGGGTTTGGGGTTTGGGGTTTTGTTTAGGGCTTACCTGGCTTTACAGGGCTTGTCTAGGGTTTACAGGGTTGGTAGGGTCTGTAGCGTTTTGTTTGTAGGGTGGATAGCGTTCGCTCATACAGGGCTAAAAAGTGCTACAACAAGGTTTGCAGGGTTTGGTGTCACAATGCCCCTAAGCCCAGACCCGAAACAGTCTTCTGAGATATGTGAGAGCTTAGTTTAAGTTGCCATCGTTCTGCATGTAAAAGGTCCTACATATTCATATATTCATGGAGATATGAGTGGTTATTTAAGTATATTATGTAGTATTAGAGTATGGATGGTTGCAATTTCATTTGCAATAATGTTTGTTCCACTATTTCTTAAAACATATAGAATTCCAAAAAATATTTAAAAAAAATAGTGATACATTAGATTCAACAGGCATAACTAACAACACGTTTCCTTGACAGCAATCCAGTCCAGCAGAAACTCCGGCACCTACAGCAAACCAATACTCCAGGTACAGCCTTCCACCAAATGGTATGCATAATGTTCTCGTGGAAACTAAAGTTCAAAACCCTAAACCCTAAACCCTAAACCCGAACCCCTAAACCCCAAAGCCTAAACCCCAAACTCCAAACCCCAAACCCCAAACCCTAAACCCTAAACCCTAAACCCTAACCAACAAAAAGACGACAGAAGCCCTCCCCTTGCCTCATCGAATGCCATGGCCGACAAGAGTTCAAGGGCACCCTGCCAGTGTCCGCCTGACGGCTCTGCTCTTTTTGCCATGCGGTTCGGGTTTCGGGTTTCGGGTTTAGGGTTTAGGGTTTGGGGTTTGGGGTTTGGGGTTTGGGGTTTGGGGTTTGGGGTTTGGGGTTTGGGGTTTGGGGTTTGGGGTTTAGGGTTTAGGGTTTAGGGTTTAGGTTTAGGGCTTAGGGCTTGGGGTTTAGGGTTTAAGTTTAGGGTAGTTTAGGGTTTAGGGTCGGCTCAGTTGAGGTTTGCTTGATCAGGAATCAGCAATCATGCTAATAATATTGCGCTATGACAATGTGGAAAGATGCACTTAACTTAAACCTAGACCCGAAACCATCTAGTAGTTTGTGCAGGTTGTACAGGTTGTCGCACACGCACTCGCCCTCTCCGTGAGGAATGGGAGAAAATCCTGCATCCTCTTATCTCCTTCCCCTCGGTTGCTCTGTCCGCTGCATACCCTACGGCCCTACAACCAACCTACAGTATAACCAGGTTGCCCAGTAGCCTAGGATTAAACATGGTGTCCTTTTTTGCTGAAAGGTGTTTCATTCTGAGGGAACCTAAACCCAAAAAAGGGAATAAGAGCACTACTGGGCATCCTGGATGAAGCCCTGCAAGTCTACACCCGCTGCACGGTTCTTTTAAGCTCCGCAGGCGATGCCGCGCATGAATGAGAAAGAGAGAAGACAGGTCCGCTGCGAAACTTGTCTGGCTCGGAGTCGTGAAACATGAGGTCTTTGGCATCGGCCCATCCATTGCCTGGCACAAATCACATGTCTTGCTGGAACCCTAAACCCTAAACCCTACACCCTGAACCCTAAACCCTAAACCCTAAACCCTAAACCAGACATGAAGTTCTTGGGTCTGAGGATCGTTGCAGGCTTCGGGTCTTGCACATGGGGGCTTACGAGGCTGGGGGGCCCCCAAGATAGATCCCCAAATTATTATAGTAAGGACTCCAGTAAGGACCCCAACAAGGTACCCCCTAATTTCGGAGACCCTAAACCCTAAACCCTAAACCCTAGCCCTAAACCCTAAACCCTAAACCCTAAACCCTAAACCCTAAACCCTAAACCCTAAACCCTAAACCCTAAACCCTAAACCCTCCATTTGTATGAATACAGGGAGCGGGTGGCCATGATAAAGAATCCTGGTACAAGGAAACCCAGGCGTGCAACTTCACTTCCAAGGGTGGTAAGCACGGCCAAGTCTAGGACGCCTCTGCTCACCTAGGGTTGCTTCGGGTTTAGGGTTTAGGGTTTAGGGTTTAAGGTTTAGCGTTTAGGGTTTAGGGTTTAGGGTTTAGGAGACTTTAAAAGTCGGGGGTGCCGATTCCACACAGTTGCAGGACTTTCTCTCGCAAGTCAGGCACTCGATGCTGCGGGGAAGCCCCCTTTGGGGGGCCTCTTCGCCTGGGGTCTGCCATGACGCTTGCAGCAGGTATTTGCTCGGTGGACCCTAAACCCTGAACCCTGAACCCTCAACCCAAACAGGCCCTCAAAGGGCAGAGAAGGAGCACATGACTTCGGCCCCTATGGAAGGTCCTTTACAACACCGCAAGGGGAACCCGAATGAACAACCAAGGGTTTAGGAAAACGGGCTCAGGGTTTAGGCTCCTGAGCTACGAGTGCAGAGGCAGATGCCCCAGGTGGCGCAAGACTCCAACTCGTGTGGTGGCGCACATACGGCGCCAAAAGATCTCACGTCCAAGCCTAAACCCTAAAGACTAAACCCTAAACCCGAAACCCTAAACCCTAAACCCTAAGCCCTAAACCCTATAAACCCTAAACCCTAAAAACCCAATAAACCCTAAACCCTAAACCCCACCACCTGGAACTTCTTTGAGTTCATGTGGCAGGGCTGCCATTGTCGCTCACTGCATAGAAGGTGTCGGACCCGAAGTACAACAAGTTGTTGTACCACAATCTTGGATGCACATTGGGACCCTAAACCCTAAACCCTAAACCCTAAACCCTAAACCCTAAACCCTAAACCCTAAACCCTAAACCCTAAACCCTAAACCCTAAACCCTAAACCCTAAGTATGTTAGGAATCACAAGGTACCCTTATAGGTTTGCAGTGGTTTATAAACGGCAGCCCTGTAGGGGCACCCTTATGGGCCTTATGGGTTTATTAAAGTGGCTTATAAGGGCAGCCCTGTAAACAATGGGAATCATGAGGGTTCCTACTTGAAGGTTCATGGGTACTTAAGGCCCCCAACTATAAGTCCACTTATAACCTTATTAGGGGACTTAGGGGACTGAGGGGATTTAGGGGACTTGGGGATACTTAGGGGACTTATAAGTGCAGCTATCTTTGGGCTACAAGTAACCTAAACCCTAAACCCTAAACCCTAAATCCTAAACCCTAAATCCTAAACCCTAAACCCTAACTCTGAACCTCCTCGACCCTCAGCCCAAGTCGAGGGCATGTCTTGGCAAGGCTTCCCGTGACTTGTGGAATAGGACTGAGGGCAAGGGGCTCTTGAGACCAACTCGCAATTTTCCGATGCCTAGGGTTTAGGTTTAGGGTTCAGGGTTTAGGGTTTTGGGTTTAGGGCTACAATCCCACCATCCTGTTTACCCTGCCGAGGATCGGGGCCGCCCTCACCGGGCCATTGGAGACGTGGTGGAACCTGTGCTGATCGGCACGTCACGAGAGACCGCAAACCCTGAAGTCGAACTGTACTTACCACACCCTTAAAAGGATCCAAAAAATAGAGCCCCAAAATACTACCCTCTACTACTACTGGGTCAGTCTTTGGAACCCTTAAGGGATCAATTTTTTTGGATCCTCCCAGGGGCCTGGGTAAGAACACTACCTTACTTCTCCAATAACCCAAGGGGGAAAAAAGGTTAAACGTTAACATTCCTACTAATAAGGAAACCCAAAAAGTTTAGAGTTCAACTGAAGGCGAAGTAAGGTACTTAAAGGATCAGGGGACTTAGTAAGTGGGGTTATAAGTAAGGTAAAGATACATATAGTTTCGTATAAGCTTATCTAAGGTACTTATAACTCTACTTACTTATTTTTGAAGTGCCCCGATCCTCCAAGTACTCCGAGCAGATGTTGAGAGCCCAGAAAGCAGATCAATAAAGTAGCAGACGCTGCAAGAGTACACTAAAGTAGACCCTGAATCGCAAGCCTCATTCCTGAGAACTAACCCCCCACCACCCGCAACCCGCCCCCCCCCCCCCCAAAAAAAAAAAAAAGTAAACAAAATAAAAACTAAACCCTAAACCCTAAAGGGCAGCTTAGCAGCATCTGCTTGCCGTCCTCATGCTGGCAACCGTAGACTTGCCTCGGGACGCTGGCCCAAAAGCTCTCGCTGCTCTTGGAGGGTTCTCCCGTAGGGTCCGCTTGTAGTACTACCGGCTGACTTCATGTGGCTCGAGATGCCACTTGGGATGTTCCCCCTTATGCTAACAGTCCTTAATTAGGATTTTAATAGGGGGGGGGGGGGGACTATCATCCCTAAACCTTAAACCCTAGACCCTAGACCCTAAACCCTAAAAGGACTGTTGGAACAAGGGGGCACATCAAAAGATGCCACCCCTAAAGTCTTCAACGACGACTGAGATGCCATGCTCAATGCCGCAAGACCACTTAAAGGATCAGGGGACGTTGTATGTGGGGTCACAAGTAAGGTAACTATACTTATGATTGCGGATAAGCCCAGTTAAGGTACTTATAGCCCTACTCACTAAGTGCCCCGATCCTCCAAGCACGCCCCCGGAAGCAAGGCAAGGTAAACGCCAGATATCAAATCACCATATAATAAGGGCACCCTTGTTTTGGTTCGGGTACTTTATAAGGGAACCCAGAACCTTAAAGGGTACCACTGGGCTGCCACGGGAGAATAACAAACGGCTCTCTGGATGGGTGTACTATCTAAAGCCTAAAACCCCAAAGAGGCCAACAAAGAAAAGCCGAGAGGCCCATCTTCACACCTCAGTTGTCCAGTACCTAGGGGTTTTAAAGGTTAACCTTTGGGAATATAAGGGGAATATATTAACCCAAAAAGGTTAAAGGTTACCTACTCTACTACTAAGACACCCGAAGTACACGAGAGGGCCATCTCCCGCGGGCTTGATGGAGCGGAGTTGGTTCGAGGCGTTGAATCGCCACCTGGTGGAGGCTCCGTTTAGGGCTTACAGTAGGGTTTAGGGTTTAGGTTTTAGGGTTTAGGGTTTAGGTGAAACAATGAGGATCCAGGGCCCTAAATTCTATAGACCCCGACCCTAAAACACTAAACCCTTTAAACCCTAAACCCGAAACCCTGAACCAAAAACCCTAAAGCCTAATGCGCTTGCATCTCTTGTCTTCTTCTTCGTAGAGTGCGTAAAGGGATGGGGAGGGATCGCGCAGCCATGGCCTGTGCCTCCTGCAAGTAAGATAGAAGCCCGCACCCAGGGAATGCACCCAAAAGAGCACCATCGAGCCCTTGTTAGAAGGGTTCTAAACCCTAAACCCTACACCCTAAACCCGAAACCCTAAACCACAGTTCCTAAACTGCCCGGCAACCAACCCAGCGACCCACGAACATGGGTGTAGAGCACTTGTGACCACTAGCTCCTTTGGGTCCGGGGAGTTTCACAGAAGCCAGAGACCCAAAAACCCATAGCAAAGCATTTGCCGGCACCTCTCCACCACGTTCGAACCCGTCGACTCAAGCGCGTAGAAAGCGCCATCCTCCACCCGTGAAGCCCTTACACTCTAAGGGAAACTATGGAATCCCTGAACATGGTCTCTTACCTTCTTTGAATGGTTCTGACGCATGGGCCTCTGTCTTTTCTATAGGAAGACACGAGGGGTATATTCGAGCTCCCCAGAAGCGCCCATACTAAGGGACCATGCAACTACCCTAAGATAGATATATGGCCCCTTAATTGTGCAGGGTATATATACGGGGTATATAAGGCGTACCCTTTGGTAACTGCCCTTAGAAATGCTGGAGCCCACCTACGTCGAGGCTCATGAACTGAGTTGCTGAGTTCATAAGCCCCCCAAA